ATTTTGACCTAAACAAGGCTAGACACAAATTTCATCACAGCTTGAAAGAGCGTTACAAAATTAGTAATATTCCAAAGTTTCGTTGCGAAATGTTGTAAAATGCGGATAATATAGCCTTGCGAAGTTTGCCGTTTTTCAGTCATTTTGCATTACGTGGGGGGAAATTGTCAGCCCAATACCCTTTGGGATGTCAATTTCCCATTTGTAATACAAAATGACTGAAAAACGGCAAACTTCGCAAGGCTATATTATCCGCATTTTACAACATTTCGCCACGAAACTTTGGAAGATTACTAATTTTGTGATGCTCTTTCAAGCTGTAATGAAATGTCTCGACTTGTCAAGATCAAAATTTAGTCTATAATGCAAATGGTCCATTATGCATCTCCGTTTTTCACCTCCCGTTCGTTCCCTTCCTAAACTTTCAAAAAAGAAAATGACTTTGCAAAGGTCTAACCAGTGAAAGGGCATGAAGTTAGAACAGTTAGATAGGGTAGGGTTAGGGGAACAGTTAGGGGAGTTAGAACATGACCACACCCACTCAGAACTCGGTATTTCAGCGGTCTATATCTGATGAACTGTCTCATAGCGACAATTACAGTGAGTTCATGTGATTCATTAAGCCTGGTTTCCATATGGAGGTAAAAATAGAGTCACGATCTTTCTCAACGGCCAGTTTATAATAGTTTATACCTGTGAACCACATAAAAACCATAAGTATTCTCTAGTTCTAATCACTCATCGTATTTTCAGTTCTAAATTAAAATGTTGTATTTAGGCTGATGAGAAAGATCGTGACTTAATCTTTACGACCATATATTTCCCCCTGGCTTTTAGTATGCTCTATTTTAAGATAAACAAAGCAAAACAAAGCCTTATTAGTATACTCTACAGTATATAGAGAATACTAATCATTTCAACAAACTCGCTGCGAGTGTTAATCGATAAAAACATGTAATAAAAAATACACAAATAATTCTTCGTGGATGTGATCATGTTCTAAGTCGGACAGACAATGATCTGGGATACAGACTCCCTCAAATTAATTAGACGGCCAATTGGGCCGAACTAATAGGCAATTCCAGCTTTTAGTTTATGGCTGCAGGGAAGGAATGATGGGAAGTAAGGTATCATATTGCCGATTATGCTGAAAAATTTCAATAAAAACAACCGAAATATTTCAATATTTACAAGTATAAGCTATCACTCCGTGTTTACACGGCCACCATTTTTTATTTTTTCAGCATAATCAGCAATGTGATACCTTACTTCCCATCGTCCCCTGCACGCATAAACTAGAAGCTGGAATTGCCAATTCTCAGGAGCACAATCTATTAAGACATGATGGTCTGCATGGAAGCCTGGCAAACTTCAAAGCTACAAAATAGAAGAGCTTTGTTTGATGTTGAACTGTACCTCACCATGCACAAATCCTTTGTCTCAACTTCATTAAATATTATTCATCGTGGTTGCACGTTTCATCTCAGCTATCCCTATTGGACGATTACGTAATTATACGAACATACAATGAGCTCAATCACCGTGACCGTGCATGCACAAATTAACATAAACGCGGACAAAAACATAATACAATGACTTCTGTTTGGTTTCCAGACCATCATATCTTCATGGTCCGGAGTCTATATCCCACTGAACACATGTGATCATTGTCTATCCTATATTTGTTATACTCGTTGAGGAAATCAATAATTTTCTTAAGAATTTCATTTGCAAATTGAAGCTAGTCCGAGCAAAATTGATTAGTTATTCAAACTAATAATCCTGCGTCATTTTGGGATTATTTTTGCAATTGTACATTGCCTTAAATCTCAATCATATAAGACGTATATGGGGCAAGATTTTTGGCCTTGACCATCATGATCTTTTCCTATCTTTTGCTTCGCGAAGCGTGTTTTTACCAATGCCATTTTGCATGTTCTGTTGGCTATATTCACTGTGTGAATAATTGTTCTGACTGTCATTATTTGTCGTTAACACATGTCTCTTCACTTGTAGCATTTCAAACCCACTACCATAACCAGACTGTAGGAAAAATATGGTGCCTACGATCACTGTATACCATCGAACCCACCAGAAATTATACAACAGCATGAACACAACACATAGAAAAGTTATCCAATAAACAATCCAGAAGATCATTTGATATCGAATACTCGAATCATCAACTATCATCGATTTCTCTTCCTGCTCTGGAACAAATCTTCCATCTTTATAGAATCGAGCTAACGTCGCTTCCTTTTCCGTCCATTTTTCTGTGCACCATTTTTCCAGTCCCTCGGTGGATTCTGGGACGGTAGTAATTGGATGCCGCTTCATATGAAAATGTACATGTTGCGGGAAATTCCCCATTGCTAGATCAGACTCCGATTGACATATGTTACCATGGTAACCAACAGTCACATCGTATATGGCATCAATGCCATGACGTGATCGTAGTTGTTCGACGCAATATGTGAAGCCTCGTAGTCTTGGGTGCAGGACGTGTTTGTATATTGGCAAGTTGTTTTTCAATGCGTAAGACGTGCTCTTGGTCACTGAGTGCGTGTCGTAGTCCGTGCCTTCGGGGAAAATCAAGAGTTGTAGTGGGTAGTTTGTGTCTGTGAAATAATGCAGGATTTGATGAAGATATTTCTCATCTTTGTCCCAATTTCGCTTCAGAAATATGAACATTGCTATCTGCATTGCCCAACCTAAAATAATGACCATGAGCAACTTAACTATGGGCTAACCTAATGAAGTGGCAATGTGCCCTACTTTGTTATTGTCCAGCACCAGATGATTTCAAGAGGAGAGTGCTGCCACTCAACGGGTTAACTAGACATCATGGGCAGATAGTCTGATTAACCTATTGAACGCCAGTGCTCTCCACTTGACGAGTAAAATCATCTAGCGTTGAACAGAGTAAAATAACAAAGTGGGGCACATCAGGGCACATTGCCACTTAATTAGGTAATTTAGGTTAACCCATTAAGTTGAATTAAGTCCTAATACATGCTCCCTACTTTATTATATTTCACTCTGCCCAACGCCAGAGGGGAGAGCACTGGTGATAAGTGGGTTATACTGGATGGCTTTTCTAATAAACTGTTCTTCTCTTACTGATGTCCAGTATAAGAGCTATCTCTGAGCTATCCCTTATAATTGGTTCAGTGTTATTGCGTTTACTCCTACTTGTGTTTTAAATAGTACTTGTGAAACGCATTAATAATTATACAGAAAACACAAAAGAAATTATGACTGTGAAGTAGTTTGTAATCTGGGGCAAATCACTGATTTAAATCACGTACACCCTCAGAAAAATCACACAAAATATCAAAATAAAAAATCAACTAAAAAATTTTTAAATCACAAAAATAAAAAAATCAAGTTCCGAGGTTATTTCTACTTTACCCTTTCGTTTGTTCGGTCAAAAGTAGTTATAAGTCATAAGAGTAAGAGAAAAAGACAAAAAAATACCTAAAAAATTTGAAGAAATAAGTATTATTGGGAAAAAATATATAAAAGAGAATGGGGAAATTTATTTCAAAAAAATAAAAAATCCGTGAAAATAAAAAATCACCAACAAAATCAGATGATTTTTTGATCTCGTACACTTTTTAGGAGTGATTTGCCCCTCGCTGATTTACATAAATTTTAAGCACAATAATTTTGTCGCCAAATATAGTTCATTTATTCTAAATTGTTGAAGAATACGTCGAATCTTCTCATCAAGACGTTTCACAAGATATTGTACATCCGACACAACATGAGTTACATGACCGCTCATTGCATGTTGCAAATATAGTACTTAACAAATTCATTAATTTGCTCGTACTTTTAATAAAACGCAGTACAATAATTAAAAAGTATACTATAAAAGATTAATATTAAGAAGGCGCTGTACACTTAATTAAAAGGAACAAACTGATGCATATGTTGGAGTTATAAATGATATAGTATATTGCTTACAGCTCACAATGATTTTAAAAGAATTACGGTGGAGTATGTTCTGAGTAAATTTTGAAGGAAGGAAACATCGAGCATGACGGGGTTTCTAACAAGCTCTGTTACGCTATGCGATATACGCGATAGAAGTGTTAATTTTCTATATTTTCCTACTGGCATAAAAGCAATATCATTACAAGCTGTTCTAGCGATGACAAATATCTTTATATCTCTCTTTGGAACACTGGCCAACGGTCTCATCATAATGGCTTACTATCGTAGCCCTCGCCTGCGAACAATTCAGAACAAAATCTTCTTCCTGCTTGCCATCACAGATATTGGCGCAACTGCTATTTGTGAACCGGTATTTGTGGGCGCCATCTTAACTGGTTTGCTGGGCAACCATAGTTGCATTCTATGGGGACTTGAAACCATATTATCGTTCTTGTTCTTGGACCTATCACTGGTAACAATAGTTATTCTTAGCGTGCAAAGTTATATAACTTTGGCATATCCGTATCGTTGGCAAAGTTTAATTACAAAGTCTCGTTTGAATTTAGTGTTTGTCTTTTCTTGGTTTCTCATTTTGCTAAAAACTCTGACTATTTTTCAACATTACAACTTTGTTTTATACGGAACGCTTTGTATTCTTGCCTTAACAATCATCACTGTGGTTTTTACCTGGTGTTGGACATATAAACTCATTGCCCGACATCGAAAGGCAATTCAAACCACTCAATCTCCTGCAAGCAGTCAGAATATGACACAAAAGAAGATCCTACGATCAACAATAACCGCATTCGCAATTATTGTAAGCCTTCTGGCTTGTTACTTTTTGAGTTTGTGCTTTCCAATCTTCAAAAATTTTCTAAATGCGTCGACACTTGGTCATAATACGTACGGGGTTTTATGGTCGTTGGCGGTTACATTAATGTATCTAAACTCTCTGTTGAATCCCTGCCTTGTTTTTTGGCGAAGTACCTGTTTCAGAGAGGCGGTGAAGAATATTTTCGAATAGAAAAGTAGAAACATATGTGAATGTATATACATAAGATGTTATCATTTATGATTTTCTTCCTCAGAAATACCGGAACTAAAAGCTTAAGATATATTTAATAATAACTTTTTCCTGTCATTTCGAATTTAGTTTCCTCATTGCTTGAGTGTTAATTTAAAGTAAAAAAAATTTTACAGACTTTCATTTCCATGTTACATTGATGAGGTATTTCATTTCTTCAATCAAGCAATGCTACTTCTTGGTTTTGCCTGTGATTTTGGCGTAACCGTTGATTTTCGCCACGTTCCTAGCCAGTCTGCTTATGAAAGGCATTCACCCCCAAACAATATTCAAAGTGGTGGACGTTCAGGGGGGTGTTGAAGTCCTGCTTAATAATAATTTGGGTATGGCCAATACTGTTTTGCTCTACTGAGGTTCCGGCTATTAATTGATGAGTGAAGGGAGTATGCAAGGAATGGAAGGTCGAGGCTTCAAGGGCGCTGTGAGTTGGGTGGTGGGCAAAGGCTTGCAAGCTTTGTTTATTTGATATATTGTCCGAGTGCAAGACAGGGCTAAAAATTTCAGCTTGTCGTGCCTGCAGTACTGGCGAATTACACACAGCCTCTCGCGAATAGCTGTCAAATATCTTCTTAGCGCTGGAGAAATTCGCCATTCTCCGGCCTACAACAAGATGGGTAGTGAATGCCTCTCACTAGGAACATAGCGAGTGCATTTTGATGATTAATTTTCAGTATGAATAACACCTTAGTGATTTTAGATGTGAAAAGCTTGCTTAAATGCGAAATTGTAAAATATGAACAAAATTATCTATTTTAAAGTCAGAATGAGTCGCGATTTTTAAGTAGCGTTGGAAAAAGTCAATAGAATAATTTTAGCTCTGGTGTGAGATATATTTGTCAATAAATTAAAAAGAATAATATAATACAATTTTCTGTCTAGTTAACCCATTGAGTGCCAGCACTCTCCTTTCAAAAGGAGACCCCCCTAGACATCATGGGCAGTCTGATTAACCCATGCATTGAACGCCAGTGCTCTCCCCTTGACGAGTAAAATCATCTAGCGTTGAACATGCAGAGTAAAATAATAAAGTGGGGCACATCAGGGCACATTGCCACTTAATTAGGTAATTTAGGTTAACCCATTAAGTTGCAAAAAGCCCTAATACATGCTCCCTACTTTATTATATTTCACTCTGCCCAACGCCAGAGGGGAGAGCACTGGTGATAAGTAGGTTATACTGGATGGCTTTTCTATAAACTGTTCTTCTCTTACTGATGTCCAGTATAAGAGCTATCTCTGAGCTATACCTTATAATTGGTTCAGTGTTATTGTGTTCACTCCTACTCGTGTTTTAAATAGTACTTGTGAAACGCATTAATAATTATACAGAAAACACAAAAGAAATCATGATCGTGAAGTAGTTTGTAAATCTGATACAAAACCATGCTGATTTACGAGGGGCAAATCACTGATTTAAATCACGTACACCTTCAGAAAAATCACAAAAAAAAATCAAAATAAAAAAATCAAGTTCCGAGGTTATTTCTACTTTACCCTTTCGTTTGTTCGGTCAAAAGTAGTTTTAAGTCATAAGTCATAAGAGTGAGAGAAAAAGACAAAAAAATACCTAAAAAATTTGAAGAAATAAGTATTATTGGGAAAAAAATTATAAAAGAGAATGGGGAAATTTTTTATTTCAAAAAAATAAAAATTCCGTGAAAATAAAAAATCACCAAAAAAAATCACCAAAAAACATAAATTTTAAGCACAATAATTTTGTCGCCAAATATTATTCATTTATTCTAAATTGTTGAAGAATACACCGAATATTCTCATCAAGACGTTTCACAAGCTATTGTACATCCGATACAACATGACCGCTCATGTTGCAAATATACAGTAGTACTTTAATAACAAATTCATTAATTTGCTCGTACTTTTAATGATACGGAGTATAAGGATTAAAAAGTATACTAAAAGATTAATATTAAGAAGGCGCTGTACACTTAATTAAAAGGAACAATATTTTGCATACGTTGGAGTTATAAATGACATAGTGTATTGCATGCAGCTTACAATGATTTTAAAAGAATTAGGGTGAAGTACGTTCTGAGTAAATTTTGAAGGAAGGAAACATCGAGCATGACGGGGTTTCCAACAAGCTCTGTTACGCTATGCGATATACGCGATAGAAGTGTTAATTTTCTATATTTTACTACTGGCATAAAAGCAATGTCATTGCAAGCTGTTCTGGCGATGATAAATATCTTTATATCTCTCTTTGGAACGCTGGCCAACGGTCTCGTCATAATGGCTTACTATCGTAGCCCTCGTCTGCGAACAGTTCAGAACAAAATCTTCTTGCTGCTTGCCATCACAGATATTGGCGTAACTGCTATTTGTGAACCGGTATTTGTGGGCGCCATCTTAACTGGTTTGCTGGACAACCATAATTGCATTCTATGGGGACTTGAATCCATATTATTGTTCTTGTTTTTGGAACTATCACTGGTAACAATAGTTATTCTTAGCTTGCAAAGTTACATAACCTTGGCTTATCCGTATCGTTGGCAAAGCATAATTACAAAGTTTCGTTTGAATTTAGTTTTTGTCCTTTCTTGGCTTCTCATTTCGCTAAAAACTCTGACTATTTTTCAACATTACAACTTTGTTTTATACGGAGCGCTTTGTATTCTTGGCTTAGCAATCATCACTGTAGTTTTTACCTGGTGTTGGACATATAAACTCATTGCCCGACATCGAAAGGCAATTCAAACCACTCAATCTCCTGCAAGCAGTCAGAATATGACACAAAAGAAGATCTTGCGATCAACAATAACCGCATTCGCCATTATTCTAAGCCTTCTGGCATGTTACTTTTTGAGTTTGTGCATTTCTATCTTCAAAAATTTTCTAAATGCTTCGACACTTGGTCATAATACGTACGGGGTTTTATGGTCGTTGGCGATTACATTAATGTATCTAAACTCTCTGTTGAATCCTTGCCTTGTTTTTCGGCGAAGTACCTGTTTCAGAGAAGCCGTGAAGAATATTTTCGAATAGAAAAATAGAAACATATGTGAATGTATATATAATACTTTTTTCATTTATGATTTTCTTCCTCAGAAATACCGGAACTAAAAGCTTAAGATATATTTAATAATATTTTTTTCCTGTCATTTTGAATTTATAGTTTCCTCATTCCAAGCACGAGTGTTAATTTAAAGTATTTCATAAACTTTCCCAAAAATTTTTTATAGACTTTCATTTCCATGTTTCATTGCCATTAGTGAGGTATTTCATTTCTTCAATCAAGCAATGCTATACTAGTCTTGGTTTTGCCTATGAGCAGGGCTCGAAATAGCGGGCTGCCAATGGCCAAAAGCAGGCCATATTTTAGAAATGGCATGCAAAAATAAATTTCAAAGTAAAAACAAAATGGCAGGTGAAATTCTATATAGATATATTTCATTTCATTTGGCATTTGCTTACCACAACTCATATACCTATACTAGATCATTCAGTTGACTAAATACGTTTATATTTGAAATGTAAATCCAAGTTCACTGTAATAAAATAGACAAGTTTAAAAACAATAAAAATGCATATCATGAAAACATTGATTTTTACAATATGACTCATATGAGACATCGCCATTTTGGCAGTTCAGTGAATAAAAATGGCAGGCTAAAATTTATTTCATCTGCCAAAAAATGTTAGACTGGCAGACCATGTTTTTTTCTCTACATCCAGCCCTGCCTATGAGTCTGACATAGCCGATTTTGGCGTAACCGTTGATTTTCGCCATGTTCCTAAGCAGTCTGCTTATGAGAGACATTCACCCCCAGAAAATATTCAAAGTGGTGGCGTTCAGGGGGGTGAATTCCTCTCATAAGCGCACTAGCTAGGAACATAGCGAGTGCATTTTGATGACGAATCATTGTGAATCATGGCATATAGCGACGGTTAGACTTTTGCATGAGTCGGACTTCTGGATGCTCTCTATTCTGTGACCGTGATGTATATATATTGATGTTATTTACACACAGTGAGATGTCAGTGCATGTTTTATAATTATATGTTTGTTATTGTTAAAGAAACTATTTGAAATACAGCGTGATGCTGTGTCAGAAATAAACACACGCTGCTTATTCAAAAGCTTTTCTAGTATTACTAAATCAATAAATTCTTAAAACGTAATCTAGCTTCACGTTCCAATTAATGATTTCGAACAGAAACGCAAAACTAGGAACCAACCACCGGATATGAAGCATACATGTCAAAAGAAGATGACAGCTTAGACATCTTAGATGTATCTTAATGAAAAATCTGCGCAAAATTTATTACTTCGGACGTATAGTATAAAAATTTTAAATATTACCAAACTTAAGGTCCCTATATATAAAGGCGGAACTGATGCAACTTTTTGCGGCGAATTTGTTCGCTGACCAGTCACATTGCCGAAATTTGTTTTTCGCTTCACGCGAATAAGTTCGCCTAGTGGATTAATAGGGAGCTTAAGATCTACAAAGCCAATTTGTGACGCGGACGTGCTTACCTAAGCATAGTTTTCGAGTATAAGCCTAGTCAGAGTTGTCACAGTTTATTTCTGCGAGATTTGTGACACTGTTATGACACGTTAACAGCCATACGAAATAATAGAAACCAGAATGCACATTGTTACGAATGCACATTTTCCCGACAAAACTACCATCCGAGACGACGTGATATTTGCAAAGATTCGTCGTCATAGAAGTCGTAAAAACTTATGATAAAAAACATCTTCTCTAGCCTCTGTTATGTTGTACATTTTTTCCAGTATAATTTCATTTTATTTACTGTGATAAAAATATTTTAATGGTATTTGCCATTGTTTTAAAATAAAACTTGTTTAATGCGACGTCCGCGTCGTAAGTTCGCGTTGTAGATCTTAAGCTCGCTATTGACAGTTTTGAGTACGAGTTTTCACTTATAACAGGAATTTTAAAGTACTTTTGTGTATTCCATGCTGTGCAAAATATAATTTAGTACATGTATATACAGTGTGTTTAACAAATTCATCAACTTGCTCGTATATACCGAGTAGCTTTAATGAAACGGAGTGATAATAATAATATGGATGAGGTTTTTAACTTTTTGTGATATCCAGAATTATCAAGATCGAGGTATGTGTCATCAGTCAATTAAGCCATTGTGATCAAGCCGAAGGCGAGATTGATAATACTTACCGAGACCTTGATAATTTCTGGAAATCACACAAACCAAATTCATTAACAGTTTTATTATACATTCCATTCCATTAATCACAATGATTCGTCGCACTAAACAAAGTTTGGTTCTCAAAAAGGTTGAAACGATTTAAGATATCACAATAACAGCAAAAATATAATATAAATCTCATCCATGCACCTTAATTAAAAGTTCTGATAAAAAGGCTTTTTACACAAACAATTCACAAAAACGCTGTTCGTTCATGTTGTTTTCGCTTGTTTTTATTTGTGTATTTAAAACTGCAGTTTGCTATAAAATTACATACCATGGGCTCAACCTACACGTAACTCAGTTATCTGCTAGAAGATAACTGAGTTATGTCTTAAGGTTGCGTGATTTCCATATTTAGTTGTAAGCTACTGGCCAATCAGAAGACACGTAGTGACTACAATGTACCATAAGTTCAGTAAAATGTACTGAAAGGTTGATATTATGCCACTCATTGGGTTAAACAGAAAGCACTTCACACTTCATTAAATGGAACAGGCTGCTGGGTTATTCAATAAATATATCAAGTTTTAACTGAAATTAAAAGTGATTAGTGAAATATGATATAGTGCAGAAGAATTACAAGAGTATAATATGCAATTATAGGAGTAAAGTTCTGAGTACATTTGTCCAAGCAATGTTGCAAATGACAGGATGCCAGGCAAGCTCCATTACACTATATGATATAGGCAATAAAAGTGTTAATTTTCTATATTTCTTTGCTGGCATAAAAGCAATGTCATTTATATACACTGCTCTGGTGATGACAAATACAGTACTGGATAACTCTATCAATTCTGAACTGTTCTAGGTGCAAGGGGTTGTGCACCCCCCCCCCCCCAGTGATATCCAGCACCCCCTTGAAGAAAACTCTGGTATTCCATATTTGAGTAGTGAATACTACTTATTATATTGAAACGACTGATTTTCAAATACGCGAGAAAATATTCAAGCACCAATTAATACAGCAGGTCGCCATATAACGTAGCACTTTTCTTAATTTTTGCCCGAAATACAAGTACTGTGAGGGCAAATTTAACGAATAAACAGTGCTCAGAATGCACGAAATTGAAATTTCAAAAATGTTCTGTGGGAGAATGCCCCTGTACTCCTGTAGTAATGTAACCCCTCTGGAAAATCTCCACCGCCTCTAACAAATCAGCCCAGTTCTGCCCCTGGTGTGCTTTGATGTGCAATCATCTTTTTTTTTCATTCTGAATGCAATAAACATTTCATTATTGCAAGGCCTGCAAAAAACCTGCAGCATTTAGTTAAGTCATTGAACTGGTAACATGTAATTTATCTGATGTTTGTTTATGAAGTCATTGAACTGGTGTACCTGATGTTTTACATGTAATTTATCTGACAAAAGAACTAGACTCAGTTCCGAAATATCACATACTTGAACCAACCTGACAGCGTAGCTCAGTTGGCAAAGCATTCGGCTAGTATTCCAAAGGCCGTATGTTCGATTCCCACCGTGGCCAGGCATATTTTCACGCAGGCATATACACTCAGAGTAACATCACAAGCATGTAATTTATCTGTTATAAGAATAATATACCTGCTCCAGGGATGCGTTTCAATTCATTTTTCAAAATAATCTTCTCATTCTCCAATTTTCCTTGACGTAATATCACTGACCAATAGTAAAGCCAATCAAGTCTCGTTCTGTGGTTCATGATAATTACAACTTTCTCGTTTCTTAAATTTGATGGAAAATCTTCGGTCGTAATACGCACGTTCATACCAAACAGGATCTCTGATGGTAATAAACAAATGACAAAGTACTTGCAGGAATATTGTAATTTATTGAGTAACGAGAGACATGGGCATTACGATTTTTCTGTTAATGAGAGATAGTGACCTGCACTTTGGCTTAACCCATTGAGTGCCAGCACTTCCCTTGACAAGTAAAATCATCTGGCATTAGACAGAGTAAAATAATAAAGTAAGGAGCGCTAGCTTAAGGCATACTGTCAAGGGTTAACAATGGATTAAACCAGAATCAAACAGGTCAACCCAAGGCTGTCTGTAAAACGGCCGTCGTTAAAATTTACCAAATATGCCTGTTTCATATGATCTTCAAAATATGTAAAACATAAAACAATTTCTTACCGAGCACAGCCTTTGATTTGTACAAGAAAACCACATATTAAAACAACAAGAAAGAAAAATAATTAACACAACAGCACAGATATGCCAGTGAAATGCACAACGACATATAAATTATAATACTCACAACTGGCAAGGCAAGCCATGTGCCCATCAGTTTATCACTTGTGTATCGGAACCAATTTGGCTTAAACAACAGCAGCGGTAAAGTCGGCCCCATCATAAATATTGAGCCAAAAAACGCTGAGAGAAACATAAAGGAGACAAAGAATACTCCGCTGATGAAATTTCGAAACATTTTCAAAGACACAAAAGCAAAGACAATAAAACCTATTTCCAAACTATTTGTTGTTCGCAATTTATTTGAATTCTGTTTTTTATTTTTCATGGCCTGCGGTGTTTCCGTTGCAGGTACTTCATGGAAAGGAAAATGTAAATTATTGACAGCCGATTGGCCAAAAAGGTTTAGCGGGAAATGTTTTTATTGGTTGTGCAATGAACACTTGGCCATATCGAGAGTATACATGTGAGGCTGCTCCATTTACTGTTCGGAGTACTCCGGACTTTCGGAACACTAACTAAACCGAACCAATAATGGTCACAGACTGTTCTGAGTTCTGACGATCAAATGACTGTTCTAGCTGGCTGCCCCTGATGGTACGAAGTATTGCCATAGCAGCTGCGCAGCAACAATGAGAGCAGCAATCAGTAATGTTAGCAGCAAAAGGAGATAGCAATGACAATTCTGCCAAGGCATACCTGCGAAATACAATATATAGTGGTCTATACATCCTATTTTATGTGAGAACATGGGATGAACATGAACATGGGTGGGTGGGTGGGGAAAAGGTATCGAAGTGCAAAACTTGCTGCAGCTAGGCAAAGCATACAATGGCAGAATGAATACCCAGACCGAAGCACTCATCACAAGGCATGAAACAACCCCCTTTGATCGATATGACGTCACAGACTCCCCTCAGCAGATGTGGCCTGCATAATACATCCGCCATTAACCTTGCTTAATTTAAATGTATTTAACCACATCAAGAGCTGATGTAATAATACATTGTCAATTTAACTAGTCTGCAATCCGTAAAGATTGATTTGCATACAGCACACACAAGACAAGGTGAATCCAGACTATTTCACATCAGTGACCATGATTTAGTTGCAACATTTACAACCAAATGGATACCAGGTTATTAAGCAAATTCCTTCAAATTTAATTGCAACACACACCCCCCCCGTCATTTTCTTGAAAAATTTAATAGCCTCCCCCCCTTCTAGTAATTTATTTCTACATACATGCCCCTTATTTTCCCCTTCCATAAATAATGACCGGTCCCTTAGTGTTCCGAAAATCCGGAGTACTCCGAACAGTAAATGGAACAGCCATTGTGTCAAACCGGATGTTCTCTTGCGAGCAACATTGCAATATTGTCCCACAATATTGCAACTTTGATAGGCAAATTGCTCTGAGCAATTTGCAACCGACGCGAACAAATTGCAAGTGGAAATTCACAAAAGATTTGTAAACAAAGCCTCTGATTGGACTATACGAAAGAGGGAAGCACCAATCCAGTTGCTCAGACTATTTGATTGGCTTCCCTCTTTCTTATAGTTGGCTTCCCTCTTTCTTATAGTCCAATCAGAGGCTTTGTTTACAAATCTTTTGTGAAATTCAACTTGCAATTCAATTTCAATTTCAACTATTTTTTAGTATAATTTATAATGAAGGAATGTTAAACGGCATAAAGCAACATGTAAGCATTGAATGTAAGAATTGTGTATCATTGATAGCCTGATAACCTAATTTTATTGACACTCAATAAGATCTCAGGAAATTCAGCCAATCGTAAAGCTGCAAAAAAAACAATGACAACATTGTAGCTATGTCTTTGCAGAGGTCCGTCCCGAAAAATAACAAAATTTGCTTTAAAAATTTGAATTTTTTATCTATCAACATACTGCACTTCTCTATTCCCTAGAGGGTAGAGATAACCTGACCAATGTAAGTCGAAAATATTGATAAGATTTGGCTCTTTTTTGGCTTTTTTTAAAAAAAAATGAAATTTGGCCTTATTTAGTAGAATTTGGCCTTTTTTAAAGGTCATTTGGCTTTGTGCATGCGCGAAAGCCTACCAACCCTACACTGCACCGGAATCGCAGGGCTACAGGTTTGATTCCAGAGGGTCTATATATAGTTGCATTTTTCGCAACTGCTCCTGGCTGGATCTTAATAAATGTATAAAATTTAAACTCGAAATTTTCGTATTATTATTGTATGAATTTCAAACGTGCAATGCTGAAAGGTTTATTAATTTTTATAATTGTTTTTTACTGATTTTAGTAATTTGTTTTTTTGCCAGGCCGTAGTGTATACAAATGTGATATTTTAAAGTTGTATAAAGTGCATGATTATCTAAAGTTCTCGTTCAACATATATTATTAGTTTGCAATTGCAGTTTTGCCTTTTCGAAAACAACTTGAGAACAGGTGCGATGGTGAGACATGTGAATGAAAGTTTGTTTTGAAAGTACAAGTGGCCGAAGCGAAAAAGCACGTTTCATCGAGTCATTAATTACGAAATAAAAAGAAATACAAGCTCGCGTCTCGCTTTCGATTTTTACATTAAAACCTATATGTCTTTATGTTATTCTAAACCAATTCACAAAAGAAAGTAATTACAAAATATACTACTACTTTCTAAATAAATGTTTCGACCAATGCCAATGCTCCGTGATGGCGAACAGATGGTCGATGTATGCATGTTCCACTGTTGAAAACAATTTTTTCTATCTCTACTGCCACAAACTATTCTCAGAATTTTCAAACTCTTGCTCAAGTGGAGGTCGCTGTCTTTGAGAGAAACATTTTATAGGCATTGCAAGTTCTCTGCAAACTTTAGGTTTCGTAAAATGTTTTATCCTCAAAATTTTGTAGTCTAATCGCGAGTTAAATCATCCTTACATTAATTGCCAAGACTAGATTATTCTTATTTTGATTATTTGAGTATTCGTTTGACAGCTATTCCTTGTTATTCGTTTGAATTTTGACTATTCTTTAATTCAGAGAATAATTTCAACAATAGTGAATTGCAATTATCATGGAATGGCAGAAAAATTCGCCATTTTAAATGGGTCGTGTTAGTTCATGAGTTTTTAACGCAATGACAGAAAAAATTCCTCATTCGACAGTTAAAGGCCTAATAATCTTTATTAGGATGGGAAAATTAAATTTATACATACCCAATACTTACCGCACAACTGGCAAATGTTTTGTGCACGTTGTATATAATAAAATAATTTAAAGAAATGAGAGCATTTATATTTTTCTATACGTTTTATTCGACTATATTTAGTCATCTTCAGGATTGGATGAAATTACAAGCATAACAGTGCCTTATATGTACCCTAGTTACAGCTGATGTCTTTCTTATAGTGATGATGATATGCCTATTAATATATATATAGACTATTAAGTGTGTATAGTTCGTTGTGTTCACATTTACTATGATCAAGATATTGTTAGTGAGTTTCCTCCGAGCCGGTTACATGTAAGTTTTTTTTAAGAAGGTTTATTAGTGCAGCTACGATTCAACCCGTTGACATATTTTCATGCTTTTCAGAATTCTCAATCCTTCGGTACGTAACACTTTGTTTTTCCAGTAAAAGATTAAACAGTTAAATGTACTATTCATTAAAGCTATGGTTCCAGCCCACATGCCTGCAAGGTTTGCATTATCCAAAGTGAATGTTGTCTCTGGCGAGTTTATCCTTAGTCCAATGTAGATGAACGTTGGAATGGATATCACCACAACACAAGCGACTGCCAGCAAACAACTCGATATGTTTTTCAAAGAAAAGGTCTTTTCAATTTCGGGCGATATTCTTTTATTTTTACGACTTTTCCTGACGACTCGAAACAGTTTGTAGTTGATAAATAACATCGGAGGAATGAGAAGAATAGAAAATATTATAAGATACACTTGGTCGGAGATAAAGTCGTTTACAGACATCACTTTCAAAGTTATTTGGACGATGGTCAGTATTGCAAGAAGAGTTAAAAGTCTTCCCTTCGTTACCGATGTTCGATGAAAGATAGGATAAGATGTCGCCAAATATCGATTGAAATTCATCACCAAAAGAGCGAATAATGAAAAACCAAGGAAAATATTTGTCGATCTTAAGGAAATATGAGGCCATCTAGCATTTCCATCCAACTTTCCCGTCAACCATAGTATGGCGATAAGGGTCTCCAATGGACCATTAGTTAAAACCGTAAGCAAATCGCAACAAGACAAAACCATTATCGTGAAATAACATAATTTCTTGCGAAGTTGTACAGACCTCCAGAAACTGAGTATGACCAAGGAATTTAAACATATTCCTGAGAAAAAGAAGAATACATTCACAGCAAATATAAATATGAGGTTGATAAAATAAATAGATTCCATCCTCGAGCGACTTCTTTTGAAGAATTAAACATAAAAATAACGCCGTTGCGTTTAAGTATGGCATCTAAATTAAAATTACTGTGTGTATAAATGACATATACAAGTACTATATACATTTCATTTTCATAATATGATAATATGAAGAAGAGATAATATGCCTCTGTGCCTAGATGTGTTTGAAAATATTGCATAAGACATAAGTATACGTGCCAGCTCATGGAAATTTATTTGTAAGAAATACCGCATGAACGGCATGAAGTGTTATAACAGATGTGGCAAACACCAGCCGCAGGAGAGTGCCTGTTTTATACAATAGAACGAGTTTGTCATACTGATTTAGAACTAATAGAGCTATCCATGCAACATAAATTATAAATACAGGCATACAGCTAGTTTTGTTTAGGTTTCCTCCTGTAGTAATACTGAATCAATAAAAGAGATGACTCTTGCTGGACTGCTATAGGAAAAACAGTTTAGAACTAAAGTTTATTTCCTTTAATGACCGCTCAAAACAAATGTCTCGCCCTGCTCTCGAGTTGTTTTCCAGAACTGCAAAGAGTAATAACTATTAAGGTAGGTTTTAATTCTAGATTCCCCTTATTACGTTGTCGTAGCGCTTTGCATTGTGGTTATAGTGGTATCACTGATAAAGATAGCGGCCTCGAATGAAAATATTGAATGTTCTCGCGAATATTTTGCTGTTGGCTATCGCGCACCTGACCCTAGCTTTTTTAAAAGTTCTTGCACGGGTCAGGACAAAAAATAAGCCATCTTGAATATCAGTGATACCACTATAACCACAATGCAAAGCGCTACGAAAACGTAATAAGGGGAATCGTCAATTATACATATTGACAGAATGATATGTACTTTACATAACTTTAATATACGACCTTTTCATTTACTACGGCAAAGTAAATTTAAAATCCTTTTGACGTTTTAAAATCCAAGCATTAATATGTCCACAATATTTTCAAACTTCAAATACCTTCTACATGAAGTATTATGCTAATCAATGTCACGTCCACAGACCAAACTATTTATATCTCAATTAGTGATGAGGGAGCTTCTGTAATTGTTGGGGACAGGGAAGTGGCCACCCCCAAAGATGGGGGGGGGGGGGGCGAGAAGGGAGATGGTCTCCAGGAAAGTTTTTTTAGACACGTTTTATGATAATCTGAAAGCCACAGATTTTGTATATTTTATATCATGGATGAAAACATTAAAAGGTTACACCACACCCCAGTTTCCCCTACTTGTTGAAAGAATTGCAAAATTGATCCTGAAGAAAAGTGTGGGGCACGGAGGTGGGGGGCGGGTCGTCGGCGCGCAATGAATCTGGCACATAATCCTACTTTACTTTTTCTCATTACTTTTGTGTTATTTTTTTGTGACACAGTACAGGATAATCGTGGCAAGACGATTGAAGGTAATCACTTGTCATATATGCATTATAATAGTGTATCGGAAGCAACTTGGCTTAAACAACAGCGGCGGTAAAGTCGGCCCCATCATAAATATTGAGCCAAAAAAACTCTGAGAGAAACATAAAGGAGACAAACAAAGAATACTCCGCCGATGAAATTTCGAAACATTTTCGCACAAAAGCAAAGACAATAAATCCTATTTCCAAACTATGTTTGTTGTTCCAAATATATTTGAATTTTGTTTTTTATTTCTCATGGCCTGCGGTGTTTCCGTTATGGGTACTTCGTGGAAAGGAAAATGTAAATTATTGATCAGCCGATTGGCCAAAAAGGTTTTGCGGGAAATATTTTTATTGGTTGTGCCACGGTTATAATAGACGTTCTATTAACCGCGGTTGTGCAATGAACACTTGATCATAAGTCGAGAGTTAAAGCCTGGGGTAATATATATCTCAAATATGATTGCCTTGTTTGGGGAAAACACTAAGTTTAAGAACCATCCTCAGAGATACGAAAAATTAGTTTCATATTATTGTAGAATAATTTCATATTCTAGACTATAATATGAAACTAAGTTTAATACAAGCAAGTTTTCCTTGACAAAAGGTTTCTTTGACAAATTTTATTTGCTCGTGCGTATGGCAAAAAATTGACAATTTTTCCTTGCCTTGAAGAAGGAAAATTTGTTGGTGTGTACGGGCGCCAAAAAAACTTGACAAGTGTAGAAAAAATACTTGGAGCTATTCCCCCTCTTGGAAGAATTTAAAAATGTTGTTCATGTCTATCATTTGACTTCTTCGAGACTGTGGTTGCATTTAAAAATAGAACAGACAAAAACAAAGCCACTTAAACGCTGGTTTTTCAACCCGGCTAGAAATTTCCCGTCGATTACAAGGCGATTTTCAGCCCGGCCAGGCGAGATAAAATTTTCAGCCTGGGTAGCTTCACGGCGGGCTGAAATTTCTTCCATGTAATCACTTGCTGTGTTTTAATTAATAGGACTCTCCATGTAATCAGCTAAATCACAGATGAGGTAAGTACAGATGTGAATCTCCTGTGAAATTGCTGATTGTTTTTTATAATATAGCATTTGTAAATTCTGAACGCTGATTGGCTAAGAGCCGTGTTGATATAACTCCATGTCAACACGGGAAATTTTCCGCCGCTTGTAACACGGAAATTGTTCTTATTCTTCGGGCTTTTGACATTGCTATATTATAAAACAAATATAAAACATTTTTTCCGTATTGATATATAGTTATATTAACACTCGTGGAAGTTGGGAAAACTCGAAATTGTGTGAAAACACTCCGCCCTTCGGGCGTCGTGTTTCCACACAATTTCTCGTTTTCCCAATTTCCACTCGTGTTGATATAACTGTATATCAACACGGAAAATGTTTTATATTTGTTAAGTGTCACACGGAATTCTCACTTCCGGCGAGCGCTGGCAAGTGTCGTTCTGAAATTTAATAAGGAAAGAGATAGGAAAACGCCGTTCGAAAGACGAAAAATTGTTTTTTTTAAAAGTCTACGCTACCGACGGCTATTTTTGGAATTAATTCTTCAAGAGTAACGGTAAGCGATCACTTTTATTGATTTCTTTTTATTAAAAGTGTTAATATAACATTTTATTTAGCAAAAGTTTGTTTTTTTCCCTATCTACTTCTTATTAAAATCGTGAAATACACTTGCTGGGAATTTCAGATGCTCGTGTATAAATAACAAAACAGCGAATGATATAAATGCCTCAAAACATAACTCTCGCATAAAAAAAACATGAATACTTCTACAACATGTATAGTTTTATTCCTCTGCATTATCAAAATTTAATAAAATAGTGAATTAATACAATTTTAAAGTTTATTTAATCCGTGTGACACATTTTCACAGGAGATTCACATCTGTATTACCTCATCTGTGGCTAAATGCCTAATAATTGGTCTATTGTTACGCAATCCGTGCTAATGAGTTAATTAATTTCGTTGCGCGCAATGAATCTGGCACATTCTCCTAGTTTACTTTTCCTCATTACTTTTGTGTTATTTTTTCGTGACACAGTACAGGATAATCGTGGCAAGGAGATTGAAGGTAATCACTTGTCATATATGCCGTATCAGGGGGGAATACTGATGGGAAGTTACCCAGCTTCCACAGACTTGTGGGTGGCATGGTAAAGGGTATTTTTGCGAGCTTTGAATACACCCTTCCGGAAAGTGACTTTGGGGCTAACGTCTCAATCACGAAAACGGCCTCTGTAGCCATGGTGACGTACTTTGAAGTTTTGAAGTATCACTATGTGTTTTCGTCGATCATCTTTACAAGATATATCGTTTCAATGTTAATGTTAAGGAACTTATAAGCTTCCCGGCCTTGGTGAAATTACGTACCCTTGAACAGGCTGCGGTAAACGTAATAATACGTTACAGGGTTAAAAGAAGCACTACTAAACACTAGTACTCAACTAATTTAGAGAATATACTCTTTTTAGTTAAAAACGTGTTTTATATTTTTGAAAAATGCCTATTTCTTTACCTGTAAAACAATAATTTTTCCACCTTAATTGTGCTCCTTGCCTTTGCCTTGTTTGACTAGGGCATGAGATTAGTTGATAGGGGCGTAGCCAGCCCCAAGCTAGGATCGAGGGGGGAGAGGGGTAATCGTCAAATATACAGAACAAGTAACTGATGAGGTTCGGCCGCCCGGGGGAAAAATGTTCTAATTTAACTAGGACTGCGAAACATATTTTATGCATTTTAGATATGTTGTATGATAATCTCAAAGCCACAGATTTGGTATGTCACAGATAGAAAATCACGAGGTTACACCCCCCCCCCTCCCAATTTCTTATCAGTTTTGAAAAAATTACAGAATTGGTCCTGAAGAAAAGGGGGTTCCAGACCTCCAACCATCCCCCCCCCCCGCTACGACCGTAGTAATTGAGATAAACTCTCACGCAAACTCTTCCTTTTCAACTCCCATGCATCAACTTAATTTCATCCTCGTTCTGATTTGACCGGGTTTCATTTACCTTAATTTTTGCTTATTATAGAAAACTTGAAATGGTTCCAATACGAGCGAACACGTCGATCGTTAGCCTACGAAGACAACGGCGCTTGCACGCTAATGCAGTGCAGCGGAAACCGAACCACATTTAAGAAAAGAGAACACAAGATCGAGTGCCAATGTGACAATGCGTGTTACCAAACATTTTCAGACTGCTGTCCAAATTACGAATCAACCTGCGGGTCTCAGAACGCGCTGGGACACGCATACCTTGACAAAGATGTGTGGAAATGTGTGGAGTTTAAACAACCATTGAACTTGCCGTGTAAAAATATAGGCCTGAACGGTGTGTGGATGATTCAAAAATGCGCCGCAGACTGGCCTGTCGATGATACCAAACACAGATGTGAAAATGCACCAACAGATTTTTCCTATCCCGTTGAGGATTTTATTCCAGTCGTTGGGGTGAACACCTTTACGTATCGTAACTTGCACTGCGCCGCATGTAATGGGATTAAAGAGTACGAAACTTGGAGAATAGAAGTCTTTTCTTACCTTACTCCACCAGATGAATTTGGGTTGGACTTAAAACTACAGTTTGCCATAAGCATTGGTGGATGGCTTGAGAGTATTTACCCTGTTTTCGACCATCCTAAGCGTTACTGCCTTGGTAGTCATTTAATAAATAGCTGTAATAACACAGGTAATATTTCCTATAATAACGACTGCGTCAATGGTCCCGTCCAAGTTGTATCGACCGGAGATTATCTGTACTTTAAGAACCCCGCATGCGCAGTGTGTAACGGTTATCTGGAGGTTACTAAATGGAAAGCGAAACAAGTTTGTGTGAAACCTAAAAATTTGAAAGAAGGAATTTACCGTTTCTATTTCATCATAAGGAAACCTGACGGTAATGAAACATTTCGTGGTACGCGTTCGTCATGTCCATATGGTGAAGTTGGTACAATGTATAATTCACGGTTAGGATTCTGCGAGAATCGATGGCCAGCTATCATTGATGCAAGTGGTGAACTAGCCAATGAATTTTTGGTATTTTTGTCGTTTAAGGAAGTTAGTACTCTAGAAGGTCGATATACGTCGAGAAAGACGAAAGAAAACTACTTCAAATCGGCGCTGACCGCCAATATGTCGCTTCTAGCCAGCCAGACATCAGAAATCGCATTTCACATTCAAGATCATGTCGATCGTTTCAAAGTCGCTACATTCCGTGTGACAATTACACCATATCAAGGGCTAATACTTGCAAACCAACACAAACTCAGTCATTTTAGCGGTGAAAACATCGCATTTTTGAAACTGATTAACCCACTCAACATTAACGAAAATTTTACGCTATCTTGGAAGGAGTTCACATTCACTGTGCTTAAAGTGGTATCCAGACAGCTGTCCTGCCATGACGGGCACAAATTTCAATCATACACATCAGATGTGCGCTTAAAGTTGGAAAGTGGAAACTATTTTGAGTTAAAGGGTGAGCCGCCGAGACACAAGGATTTGACTTTATGTCATAAATTGTTTATATCACATTGTACGAGAGGGACGTACGTGCCGTTACCTCGAGGAGAATACACAATAACCCATAATTTAACCGTTCTTCACAACACAACAATGCGTGCGTACAAGTTTGGCGACTATCTGATCAATAAAAATTCAAATAGCCACCCCTCAACTGATGATTCAAACTCAATTATACCAAGGAACGCCACAATTTCTATTTGCTTATCGCACCAAGCAACTGAAACAGCGGACAAGGAATATAGTCGAAGCACAAGGATTGGCGTACGAGTTGTAACATTCATTAGCTTCAGTGTGTCTATAATTTGCTTATCGTTGTTTTTAATAACTTTTGGACTATTTAAAGAACTGAGGAATCTTCGTGGAATGAATTTAATGAATTTAACCCTCTCGACGTTTCTGTCACATCTGATATGGCTGATAAGTACCGCTTATATTGAAGACGAAACATTGTGCATTGTATTCGCAACACTGGATCACTATCTTTTCTTCGCATCGTTTCTGGCTATGACCATCATTTCGTATCATACTTGTCGCGTAATCTCCCAACAATTTTGTGAAAAATTACTTCCGACAATTTCGCGCTGGATCCTTTTCAAGTATTCAACATTCGTGTGGCTAACTCCTGCGATATTTGTCGCAATTTGTGGCGCATTGGACGACACCGAAACGTTCTCCGTGGACTATGGAACAAAGTGCTGGCTAGGAACTACAAACGCTATGTTCTATTTATTCTTATTCCCCCTCGCTGCATTAATACTTTGTAATGTCTACATATTTATTCGAGCGTCGGTTATTTTATCTCTCCATGACAAGGACAATAACACCATACAAGGTCAAGAGGGAAGACAAAATCTTCTCTTCTCGATAAAACTTGCAACGTTGGTCGGTTTTCCATGGTTGTTTGTGTTCTTCGGCATGTTGTTTCCAGATGAACAAGCATTTGATTACTTGTTTGCTGTTTTTATGTGTCTACAAGGCATCTACATCGCTTTGTCGTATTTTTTCAATCAAAGTACTTTCGAACTTTATAAAAACCGTTGGAATGCAAACAAGAGAGAAGATAAATCATTCCATTCTGGTTGTGTTTCAGCAGTATTTGAAATGTCATTTTCACAAAATTCATTGTAAACAAATTGATATAATCTTTATTTTTGTTACATTGCCTCGTTTGCATTGTGATGGTTGACAATTTGCTCGTTTGTTGAAGCAATCATAGTTGAGGGAAGATCCTGGGTTTCACTTACAGAGCCAACCTCGTACCCAAGCTCTTTCCACTACGCTCCTCGCTGGAGGAAAGACCCTGGCACAGAATAAGGCACACAGAAGGTCGTCTCGAGTAACCGCTGCCACACCATGATCAGTCAAAATGCTGACGCCATGGTCCTAGCCAGTACGCGTTTGAGAGGCATTCACCCCAGCAGTGCCGTCGCAAGGAACTCGTTCCCGGGGGGGGGGGGGGTTTGGTTAAATCATGGATAATAAAATAAATTATTTTTTTATCCATGGTTAAATCTACCTAAAAGTTTCAAAATTTACCTGACAATTTTTTTCCGGAAAATTATTTTCGACGCGATCTCCCCCCTCTCTGGTCCTAGGAATTACCTGAATTTGCGTTGATTTACCTAAAATTCTTATGCAAATCTACCTGAATTTACCTGAAATTGCTCATATGAGCAATCAACAGGGGGTGTTACCCCCCCCCCCCACACACACACACACCCGCTCGCTACGGCCCTGGGCGTCAGCATTTGATGACGAATTACGGGTTACGCCAAAATCATAGGAAAATCGTAGGAAAAACCAAGAAGTCGGCCTTCTGTGTACCTTAGGAATTTCTCCTGAGCTTGTACAGATCTAAATGGAAAAAGTGTTTAATGCTTCTCAGATCCCTAAATTTGCCTTTTTCAAATATTCCTCAATAATGCGTAAAGCGGTGGAAAAATTGCCCGAAATGACAGCTTGTACAAGCGAAACAATAATTACTCTACTGTTTATGATCTGAAATGTCTGATCACAATGTTATTGCTTAACTTACATGACATTATTTAGTTTCGAGAAGAAGCGGCCCAATTTGCACTACACACGTAAAAATCTCACAACTTGTCAACAAAATGTGTTCGCATCAGGCTTGTAGCAAGGCTTGTCAACAAGTCGTAACAACGCCGTTATTTTATCAAGTTGCTACAAGGTTGTCACTCACAACTAGCTGACAAGTTGTTGAATTGCAGGACGATAAAAAGTTGTCGGAACAACTTGTAACAAGTCTCTTGAGCTCAGCAACCTTGTAGCAAGTTGTCAACAAGCCGTTGACAACTTGTCAACAAGCTGAGAGCAAGCAGTGCGAACACATCCTGTTAACAAGTTGTTGGAACAGCATTGCTACAAGTCTGCTGCAGGTTTGTTACAACTTGTGCTTTTTTACTGACGTGTGTAACCTGCGAGCAATTTATGATATCGATCAAACACGAGACTGCGAGGAGGCTAAATTTGCACTAGATTAACATCCGTCTGACGTTCAACGGTTCAAGTCAGTTCAACACAATCTGTTCGGCGAATGCCATTTTCTCATTTTTACGGTTTTACCACCATGTGTAATCTTTGTGACATGGTAACTTTTTTAATATTTTTAGTAAAAGGATGAAACTCTGTTCTTTGAATGCTAATGACTTTATCTAGTGCCTGACACTTTTTAAATTTTGATATATTTTTCAATGATGAGAAATTAAGATTTAATCTCTTAATAGACCTTTCCCCTTATAACCAAAATTTTGATCTAGGCAAGTCTAGACAAATATTTCATCACAGCTTGAAAGAGCATCACAAAATTAGTAATATTCCAAAGTTTCGTTGCGAAATGTTGTAAAATGAGGAAAATAGAGCCTTGCGAAGTTTGCAATTTTCAGTCATTTTGCATTACAAACGGGAAATTGCAGCCCCAACACCCGAATCGTATGTCAATTTCCCGTTTGTAATACAAAATGACTGAAAAACGGCAAACTTCGCAAGGCTATATTATCCGCATTTTACAAGATTTTGCAACAAAACTTTGGAATATTACTAATTTTGTGATGCTCTTTCAAGCTGTGATGAAATTTTTGTCTAGATCGAAATTTTAGTTATAAGGGGAAAGGTCCATTAGTAGCGTATTTCATAAAATTTCCTCTAATATTTTTTAAAAATTATTTTCGTTGAAAATCAAAGAGTGTGATGCACTAGCCCTTGTTATAGCTTTCTAAATATATATAATTTGTTTTGTTCCGGTAAATGGTATCGTGTTTGCCGTGAACCCAATTTTATGCTAATAATTATATTATATGATATGATTTCTATTTGTTAACACTTCTCAGAAATGCCTTTTTTATGTCTCTGTCTTCAAAAATAAAAAATTGCTTTAAAAGGGAATGACCACCTTAACTACTAGCTATTATGGACATGACTGGTTGAGACAGTGCGACTAAAAAAAGTTCGCCTTCACCCATTCGGTACACCTTATGATAAATTCCAATATTCCATGTACATTATGTTGCGCGTCTGACTGTCCCTGTTCTGTCCACACAAACCAACTCAATCTAAGATTGAGTATCTTGAGTTTGTGTCACACACTGCACACTATTAGTCAACTAAAAAACACATGACTAGCGGTGTCTATTGACAATACTACCACATAAAGCGAAAAAAATAATCTCAATTGACTACCTGCTTAGCTATCATCTGCTGCAGGATAGTGCCTAGTAAAAGCCAGTTAAACGTGATTGGTTGATCATATTAATCTCTGCCAAATGCCAATGTTGATTGAAGTTGCACGTATGGAGCCATTATTTGAGAACTTTAGGCCAGTGTCCAATTTGTTATTTCTCTCAAAGATCACTGAAAGGTCTGTTGCTAACCAATTGCTGCGCCATTGTGAAAAAATGCACCACTTCCAATCTGCCAATCTGGCTTCAGGAAGTATCATTCGACTGAGACCGAGCTCTTTTAAAGGTGCAAAATAATATTTTTCTGAGTATGGACAGGCAAGAAGTTTGTTTCCTTGTGCTATTGGATTTAAGCTCGGCGTTTGACACAATTGATCATAAAACTATTATTGACGTACTGGAGTATCAATTTGGAGTGACGGACAAAGCTCTCGAATGGATAAAGTCATTTTTCTCTAACAGAAAGCAGAGAGTTGACATTGATAACAATTATTCTGAAGTCTGCGATGTCAGGTATGGGGTTCCTCAAGGGAGCTGTCTTGGCCCTATACTTTTTTACTTTACGTATCCCAATTATATGACATTATAGACAGACATTTGCCTTCATCTCATGCATGGTTATGCTGATGACACACAACTTTACGTTTCCTTTCGCCCGGACTGCGACGCTAATCAAAAGAGTACTCTATCTGTAATGGAAGATTGTATCTCTGATGTCCGTGCTTGGCTGGTGTCTCACAAACTAATGTTTAAAGATACGAAAACAGAATTTCTTGTAATCGGTACACCTCAACAACTTTCGATACTTGAAATTGGAGCCGTAAATGTTGGTGGAGTCCAAATTAAATCGGTTGACAGTGTTCGTAATTTGGGATCGTGGTTTGACAAGCACATGTCAATATCTGTTCATGTAAGCAAGATGTGCAGTAAAGCATTTGGAGGACTTTATAAAATACGACAAATTAGAAAATTTTTATCTATTGACACAACAAAAAGTCTAATACATGCCTTTGTGACATCACATGTGGACTATTGTAACCAGGGGCGTAGGAAGCTTAGAAAAGTTGGGGGGGGGGCAGGCTCATGAGGGGCACTTCAAAATTTTTTGGCGACCTCCCCCCCCCGTCGCCAAAAAAAATTCGGTCAGTGTACCATTTTAGGGGTAAAAAATTTTTCCGGACATACCATATTTTGCCTTAAATACTAAAAAATTTTTCCGGAAAAACAAATATATGATATTTTTCTCGGAAACTAAAACATTTTTCGGGAAAAAACCTAGATTAAAGTTTTTAAAAGTTTCGTTTGGACAAAAACTGCGAATTTTATGAAAATTTTTCAGGCACAAAAAGGGCACTTTGCTCCTGGAAAGAGGCCCCTTGCCAAAACTTGGGGGGGGGCATGGCCCCCCTGGCCCCCCGGTTCCTACGCCCCTGATTGTAACGCTCTACTGGCTGGCATACCTCAATATTTTTTTTTAATTAATATTTAATTATCAAGTTCAACGATCGCGAATTCAGAGAGTACTCAACGCTGCTGCCAGATTAATTTATCATTGTCCAAGATTCTCGCACATCACTCCAGTATTGGTTGCACTTCACTGGCTACCAGTAAAATATCGGCTGGAATTCAAAATTGCGTTGTTAGTTTACAAAGCCCTTAACAACATGGCCCCTATTTACATTTCTGAATTGCTCATCCCAAAACCATTAAGCGATCGCTGGACATTAAGATCGGATGATCAAGGACTGCTCCACATCCCGAAAACTAACTGTAAGACCTTAGGTGATCCGTCATTTGCGCATGCGGCTCCACAATTGTGGAATTCCCTACCTCTGAATGTGAGGAACTGTGATAACATTTCAGTCTTCAAGAAACGTTTGAAAACATTCCTTTTTATAGTCTAAGACCACGTATTATAATCATTTTATCGTAGATATTAGTAACTGTGAGGAACTGTGAAAAGTTTGGAATCATTCGTTTTTAGAAAAACTTTTATCCTTCTATAGCCTAAGACCACGTATTTTATCATTCTTGTTGTAGATACACCCATTCCGTTTTCTACTAGATGAATTTTTTAGCTTTTCACAATGTACAGCGCTTTGAATATCTTATATAGACTATGTGCGCTCTATTTAAATGATTAAATTATTATTATTATTATTATAAAGAATGGACAATCATTGGGCAAGATTTTCAGTTTGCTTGACCGCGTACATCGTTGGAAGTCAACGACGGTCCTCAAACAGAAAATATGCCCGCGCAGCAATGTGGTCAGCTGTCGTTCCAACAACAACAATGTTCTGTTTTGCCACGAAAGCTTCCACTGTAAATATAAAATATTGGACAAACTAAATTATTTCTCATGTTAAAATGCAAGGGTTTTGGAATCTAATCGGTAAAGTTGGCCAAGGTTCAACCACAGCTTTCCCGTATGAGATCGGTGATAAAATACCTGGTCTTGATGGAAAGTCAATATGGAGCCTTCACAGGGGAAAAAAGAAAGTATGAAAACTATGAATGATATATTTAAATTCTGAAGTGAATTTAATATGACTTGAATTGTATTGTGTAACTTTGGATATTTAAACAATATTTTTATGATCTGTGGTTTAACCCAATGATTGGGAGCATTCTCCCCTTGGTAATTAAAGTCGTCTGATGTTAAACAAAGTAAAATATTAAAATTGGGCTAATTAGGATGCATTATACCACTTAAACGGTTTAAACAGGATGCATTGGCAGATATTGTGATTAATCCATTAAGTGGCAGCACTTTCCCCTTGACAAGTAAAACCATCTGACATTAGAGAGCGTCAAATGATAAACTTCGGCTCATCAGAGCACATTGCCACTTAACGGATTGAAGGATTTGGCCAAATTAATTTATATCTTTTCAATCTCGTTAAATGCTCCGATCTATAAAATACATTTATGGTGCCAAATTTTATATTTTTGTGCCATTGTATTATAAAGGGAGGCATATGCATATATATTTCCATCTCCAGTGCCAATTTAACTGGGCAATGTATTTACATCATCAAAATCTTGCCTAGCCGAGATCCAGGCTCTCTTTTGGGATCTCGGCAAGGCAAGTTTGCCAAGTTATCTAGTCGAACCATGCAAAAGTCATCCGGTCAGCATGATGAGTTGATGTCATCAATTTTTCATCTCACAAGCGGGTAGCTACAGCCTACAGATCTTTGCCAAAAAAGGACCTCATAATTGAAATTTTCTTGTAGTCGGCCGGCCAAGGTGGCAAAAAGTGCCTCTAAAGAGAGTTTGATGGCAACTTTATGTTAGAAGCTGGTAACAGGCATTTTCTTATAGTTCAAGCCTTGGTGAATAAGACTGTGTGTGTTACCACTTCTGATTTTTGCTTTATAGCCAAAAATTTGAGAATTTTAAAATTTTGCCTATTAAATTACTATGATCGGAAAAAATGTAAAATTTTGTGTTCTCTTATACCAAAAATAAACTATACCACTAGAAAGAGCGTAAAAAACTATATATAAGATAACTTAAGCGACTAGTGCGATTTTCAAGCCGATTTTGAATTAAATATGGTTAAAGTTGGCAAAATGGGTACTAATTAGCATTAATTTGGTCATTTCTGCATTTTTTAACATTAAAAACTCGAAATAGG